AGCGCGGGGGCCCCGGCGGTTCGACCCCGGACTGGGGGTCTGGTCCCCCCCGACACCAGCGCCGCGGCAGGAGCCTGGGACAGGGGCCCAGGCCGGGGCTCCCGGCCCGGGTGCCGTCGGATCCCGCCGCCTCCTGCTCTGCCTCTACCTGGTGGGCTTCCTGGTGAGTGCGCGCCGGGTTGGTCGCGGAGTGCTGGCTCCGTCTGCGACCTGGACCCAGTTAAGGCTGCTTTTCTTCAAGCTCCTCGGGTGGTCGCCGGGCTCCACCAGGGCTGGGAACCTGCGATCTCCCTGGTGGTGCCTACCTACCTTCCAAGCCCCCTCTTGCCCCGTAACCCCCTCACTCTGCACCTGGCCACAGGTGAGGTTTGCATTGGGTCCAGCCTGCGCCCCCTACCCGGCCCCGCGGTTTAAGACGCTCCAGCACCGACCTCAGTTGTGACTCGGTGACCGCGCCACCCTCGAGGGTGACCGCGGGTGTTAGATGCTGGGGCAGGTGCATCGCATGCAGCCTGGAGAGTTGGGGCGCAGGGGCAAGCTTGGTGGCTGCGGTGCGGTAGGAACGCGCCGGCCTTTTCACCAGGTCACGTTCTAGGTATCGCTGTGATGATCCCACTTGGGCAGAATGAGGCACATTTTCCTTAGAGCCCCTGGTAGGCTGCGGTGTTTAAACCTGCAAATCACAGTGAATTATACACACCTGCCTTCCCACAAACTGCTTCTATATTGCACAATGCAGATTTGTTTTTGTTGTGATGTTGTGTTCATGTCCTGGTTTAATAAGGACAACTACGGATTCCCCAAGTGGAACGGAAAGATTTGAAAACTGAGTGTGTGTTCGGCCAGCCAGCTGTCCCCTCATTTCTTCATGGAGTTTCTGAAAAGCTGTTATGTAGTAAGGATTGTGCAACTCCAGTCACTGTAATACACAGCCCTGCCCGAAGGAACTTGCAGTCTTAGTAAATTTGTGCTGATAGTTCCTATGCCATTATCTGTGGGAACCTTATGTCCCCCTCTTCACTCCCCACTTCCCAAGTCTAGAGCTGGTTCAGTTGCCCTGCTTGTGAGCTAGTGAGCTAATCCAGGTTAGGACAGACTGGGGAAAAGACACCGTAAGATTTCCTCTTTGCTGGGTCTGGGACTTTTATCTTGAGGACAAAAGGAGCTGGTCAAGTTCAGTGTCAATGGGAGGAGGCTGTCTTCTGAGGCCTTGAAGATGGTCCCTGAGGGCACTGGGCCCCGACAAAGAGGAATTACTGTTTTCTGCTCGTGTGCAGGTTAGGACCACTCCTCCGCAGTCTGATGCCTGGCTAGAGTTAGGGTGCTGAGCCGTGCTTGGCTGGGAGAGGAGCAGGGAGCCAGTCACCCTCCCCAGCCTCAATGCAAGGTGTTCAACAGTTTGTAAAGTTTCCTGTTGAATCAGTAGTTGTTAAGACAATGACGAAAGCGTACACATCCAATTGCTGTGGACACAGAACCTCCAGCAGATGCTGTTTGCAGCGGGATCTCTGCCTTCTGTTCGTATAGCAGACTCCACCCCTGGGCTCAGTGCTTGAGTTCAGAGCCTGGCGCACCTTCTAATCCCATTTCTTCAACCTTAGTTCTCAAGATGCAGGTCCCTCTTCAACCTTCCAGTCCAGTTATCCAGAATTCAAAACCATAGAGGCGGATGGTTCTTCAAACTTGGAAAGGGAATTAGCTGTCATCCACGACTGCCCTGCTGGATGGTACTGCATCTGGCTCTGCCAAGCGAAAAGGATTTGGACCCTCACCTGGAAAGTCCAGACCAGAGTTTAGAGAATTTTGGAGACCAACCTGACCTAAAATTCAATATAGTTTGAGATTTTGAAAATAAATTTGCAGGTCATTCATGATGGCCTTCTGATACAGATTTGAGTATCCCAAGCTTTCCCTGTATGTTATCTACATGCTCTGCACATGGTACAGTCCAATCTAGCAAGCCTGGTGGAAAGTTCTAATAATTTGAATAATTTATTCAAGAGAATCATTAGGTCTCTAATATCTTCGGGGGGAAATGTAAGATTTTCACAGAGTTAAAAGAGTAGAGATTATTTTAAAATTCAAAATATTGTAAACAATTAAAATGTACACCACTCTGGGTATCCTTGAAGGACCTAACGTCTCTTCGTTAGGTAACATCTAAGGAATATTATACATAACTTAGTTATTACTTTGACTATATCTAGAGATGTAAAGAGCCCGAAGACTTTTGGGAAGATGGTTTCCAGTGGGGAGAAGGAAGGGAATAAGATTAAAGCTTTTGCCAAAATGTTTTGTTTTTAGCTCTGATCCGTGCTTCCAGATTTTAATTTGTTGAGGAAGGAAGACTAATGAGCCTTCAGGTGCTTTTTGGTTAGCACACTAAGCGGTGCTAAGGTCTGTGACTGTGGTCCTTCCCTCCAGATACCCAGTGAGACTTAATTCCATTTCATCAGCTTTAGTCGGGTGATAATTCCTTTTTTTAAGATAATCTACTAATCAAGAAATGTTTGAGTTCCTACCCTGAAAAGGTCCTGAGACTTTGGAGTATATTCTTCAGGTATCATTGAGAGATGGAGCTCTTCAAGGAGAGGTGCAAGCCTCACCTGACTTCCTTACTAAAGTGCTGCTTTGCTAAGAAAGAGGCATTAGCTTTACCTCCTTCCCCGTTTCATTACGCCCCCCAATTTTTTCTTTTTATTTTTTTAATACATACATTTTTTTTTATTGAAGTATAGTCAGTTTACTATACAGTTTACTAACAGTTTACAATGTTGTGTCAGTTTCTGGTGTATAGCATAATGCTTCAGGCATACATGAACATACATATATTCGTTTTCATACTCTTTTTCACCGCAATATTCCTTTCTTTTTATTTGAGGAATGTCTGTAGCACATCCTCCTTGAAATATTAAGGACCAATTAATTACAAAGAAGCTGAAGTTAAATGGATTCCAGGTCAGGGCAATCCAGGCATTGACAGGTGGCAGCTGTTATAACACATTGTATTTGGATTCCCTGATAACGTTAACCTGATGACTTGGACATACTTAGACAGAGTGCAATTATGAGTTCTTGTTTGCTCAACATTTTAGAGATTGGTTTTATTTTTTAAATCAATTTGTAATTAGGATCACCACTTTAAAAACACCTAGACCTCCGTTTCCAGTGCATGTTTGTTTTGCTGTTTAGGATTTGTTCGGTGTAAGCATGGTCGTCCCGCTACTGAGCCTTCATGTCAAGTCTCTCGGAGCAAGTCCAACAGTTGCTGGAATAGTAGGTGAGTGGTTAATCCCGCACATTTTCGGAGAGCACTGAATTTTTTAAACCACCCGAACTGAGTACCTGAAAACAAGTCAGTTTTGTTTAATGAATGAAGAAATAGTATCCAAAGGTAAACTGAAAAGGGGAGGAAATGAATTTTCAGAGGATTTCAGAATATGACCCTGAAGCCAGTGAAATTCATCTTTTCCTAGACTCACTTTTTTCAGAGGGGTTTCCAGGTATAGCATCATCCCCGTGCCCTGTGCCACCAGTGACGTCACAGGTACTTCCTGAGCCTCTCCAAGGAGCTGACTGTGTGCATGAAAGGGTAGGCATGGACTCCTGCCCACGGGAACCTGTAACCTAACACAAGACCAGAGAGACGTAATCTGCAGAAATCATACCAGGAGGAACGGGACTCGGGTGAACCGTGACGGATTGGTTGCAAGCTTCCTGCACCATCACCAACATGTCTTAGAGGCCTTCTCTCCGTGTGCAGCATAAAGTCTCCATCCATCCATCAATGTACCAAGGAGGCAGGAAATAGCAGGGTTTAGGACTATGCTCATGAGTGAGAAATTGTTAAAACTAACAGCACTTTGTCTTCCACAAGGTGGATGAGCAAATGTTTGGGGGAAGTTCTGCACATAATACTTGGTAAAGTTCTGGGCCATGCCATGATTTGTATTTCCCTGGAGAAGTGTAGTTGGAGGTATACCAGCCCATGCAGCAGCGTGAAGTGCTCCATGCAGAGCAGAAGGAACTTGTTATGTGATAGGATGTAGTTAGAAGTACTTTGTAAGTTCTTTAGATGCATCTTATAAAACTGAAGTGTTAGACACATTTGAAGTAATGTTAACATTTTAAGACTTAGTAGAATTTTTGCGGGATTCAGAATTCTTCTCCTGTGTACTTATGCTGCAGCCTTCTCAGCCTGAGGTGCACACTCCTCCCGCGGTGTGAGCAGGACTCTCTCAAGGCCCCTAAGGGCGACCTTGGCCTTTAGTCTCTCTCTTCTGCTTTCCCTCAGTTTTAGTTTGAAGGCCTTTTATTAAACATTGTATTCCTTTACTCTTCCATCTGGAAAAAGATTATGGGGTAATTTCCTTTTTAAAAAATGGTCTTTTTCTCCTAATGTTTTTCTGTTAATTTAACCCATTTTTGTGATGAGTCTGGCTGATGTTCGTATTGTGACTTATGTCTTCCGCAGGCTCCTCCTATGGCATCTTGCAGTTCTTTTCCAGTACATTGGTGGTAAGTTGTCTTCCATCCGGCAACATAGTGGTATGCTTCTGACGGCCACCCGTCAGGCTGCTGTGGAATCGGGGTGTGAGGTTAACCACAAAGCAGACGTGCAGGTGGTGAGGACATGCAGTGTTAGATTAAGGCAGACCCCTCATCACCTCTCTCCCTCGGTTGACATCTGAGAAGACATAGGTCTGAAGGGCTGGGATGGCTGGATCGGACAGGACCTCGCTGAGCTGGAGTGAGTGCCTGCTTTTTCCACTGTAACGTGTTCTTTTCCTGGTTCCCTGCCACCTTTTTCCTAGGAGAAAAGAACATGAACAGAAGTCATTACCAATTTTGTCTGTTTCAGTTAATTGGCAGTAATTGAATCCATCGAGATCTTAAGGCTCTATTGGAAGTTGTACCCTTCGCACTACATGGCTTATTAATTATAAAACTTAGGTGTATAGCCAGAGGAGCCACTGGGCGTGGTTGGTTGTACGTCGACCGCGTGGGATAGAAAGACCCAGGGCTGACCTTGTCACCTCCACTTCTGGCCCCTCAGTGGTTTCAAGTCCACAACCTTAACTGACCTGCCCTGCCCTGCCCTTCCCTCCGCTGGGTGCTCGACACTGTGGCCACGCTTGTCCTGAGCCCTCGAGTCCAGTGGTTCCGGCAGTTGAAACAGAACAGCCAGCTTAGTCCCAGGGATGGATCAGCCGTGGCCTTGTCTGAGTAGCTGGTGGTCTCACAGCAAGTCAACACCAAGCACACACAGCACTGTCTTTCCCAAGAGTGGCACGTGGGTAAAATATATTTTAAAATAGAAGAGAAATTCGGTAAGAGTCCATCATGAATTCTGAGATAACCAAGTAGCTACTCCCGGACTGATCTTTGTTGAAGTGTTTCATGTTTGAAAGTGGCATAGCAGTAACAGCCTTATCCTCACTGAATTGTTCCCGTGGCCCAAGAAAGTAGTTCGGTGTCTCCTTTTTACGGGGGAGGGCATTAAGACTCACAGAGTTTAACCAATTTGACAAAGTCACCTAATCTCAGTATCTAAACTCTGAGCACATACTGTTTTTTTCCTATGCATCATCTGTCATTGCCTTGATGATCTAAGAAAGAAAATAGATAAGGACCATCAGGTTATACCAGGGACACATGCACCTGCTCACAGGGGAGCTCATCATGTTTCATATTCTCTCTTGTGAGAGAAGAATTCGGGATACATCTTGTAAATATCTTTTCTGTTTTATTTGGAAACTGACTCCCAGAATACTTGATATGCATATATGTATCAGATCAGTTGAGTCCCAGTGTATTTTAATTACTCAAGTGCCTTTCTCCTGGTGGACTCTGACCTCCCCGAGAATGAAGGAGACCAGGCTTGATTTGTTTACTTGTGTTTATCAGTAGCATTTATCAGAACTCTGGAACATGGCAACATTTTATGAATGTGGATTTTTTTATTGCCACCGGTGGCCCAACCCTCTTTTTCGAATTGATCCTTTGCTTTATTAGGTTTGTGCTTACAAAGCACATTTCGTGTATGTCGTAGCTGTAAATAAGAACTTCCCTTAGAAATCCTTCAGATAGAGGCATACCTACTTAAAATGTCCTTTTTAACCACTGCTTTTACGAATACATATCTTAATTCAAAGTTTTATTTAAAAAAAATTTAATTTTAAAAACAAATGTTTATGAAGAAAAGATTTGCTAGCTCAGATTAGTCTAATATGTTTAATATATGTATTTTAATAAAGATGACTCATGTTTATTAACTACTTACTATGCGTCAGGCCCTGTGCTAAGCACTTTATTACATTTAGTTCTCATAATGACTCATCTTAACCACCAGTGGTGGTTGTGGGTTTTTAATGACTCATTTTCCATAAAGCACATAGCAAGTGTTGACAGGGGAGGAATCTCCGAGGCAGATACTATGATTACTCCTATCTTACGGGAGAGAAACTGAGCAGGGAGATACGCCTCTGTTGTGTAATTATGCTAACTGATAACATGCGTGGCATATAGAGGGATGGAAGTTCAGAGCTGCACCCAGGCAGCTGGCCCAGGGCCCAGGCCATGACCGCCAGATTGCATCGCTGCCCTGTGAACCCAGGAGGCCAGTGCCCTCTTACCCAGCTGGAAAAAGTATGGAGAATTTCATTTTAGAAACGCCATAGAAATGAAAATGGAGGAGAAGGATGGATGACTTCTGTAGAAGAATGATAGTATTTTCGAGGGTTTACTCTCAAATGTTTTATAAAGGAATTTTACGGCAGTTTATATCCTTATGTAAAGAGATCTTTTGGGTCCTTGAGAAAAGTATACACCCAACCAAAAAGACAGGGGAAAGGGGGTGAACAGGTGGAGTTGGCTTCTGTCCGGGAAGAGGGGTGGGCTTGGGTCACAAGAGGGTGGGGGAGAGTCACCAGACATCACTAAGGATGTGGTGCTGACCCCTCGCAGCCAGGTCGGAGCCAGCAGTCACCTGGGGGTCACAAGGCTCTGGACACCCTTCTCAGACAGTGCTCTGTGGCTATTACAGTGTTTAGCTTTTTTTTTATTTTAAGAGAATTACATGTGTTTTCGAACAGAGCCTCACCCAGAACCTCAGTATATAAAGTGGGTCAGTGTGGACACACTGCAGGGGGCTGGGCGTGCGGTCAGGCTCGTGTCCACCTGTGCGGACAGAGCACTCCTGAGGCATCAGGAGGAGCAGCGGGCCAACTGCCCTTCTGCCCAGTGTCTGAGGGGCTCCTGGGGGCCCGGCTGGCCGGCCCTGGGCATGTTCTCATCAAGGGGAGGGGAAGGACGAGGCAGGAAAGGCCGTTGGCCACCAGCCCCCACCCCAAAGGGACTTTCTCAGAGGTCTGGGCAGGACTGGTGGCTGGTCAGGTGGAGAATGAGCTGCCAGGGCAGCCCTAATGCCCTGATCACCTGCTGCCCTTTGTCCCCCAGGTATCCGGGGCCTCAGACAGAGGAAGACACATACTTGTGTGATCCCATGTATATGTGGAATCTAAAAAGGAAAAAAACATAGAAAAAGAGATTAGATTTGTGGCTACCAGAGGCAGGGTATGGAAAGTGGGTGAACTGGGTGAAGATAGTCAAAAGGTACAAACTTCCATTTATAAGGTAAGTAAGTACAAGGATGAAATGTACACACAGTGGGTATAGCTGACCCTGATTTATGATTTCATGATTTATATGAAAAGTGCCCAGAGAGTAGATCCTACAAGTTCTCATCACCAAGGGAAATAACCCATATTTTCCTTTTTCCTTTTGTGTCTGTGTGAAGTGATGGATGTTAGCTAGACTCACGGTACAGGATAGGCAGGTCAGGTCACTACGCTGCACCCCTTAAGCTTCCGCAGCGCTGCAGGGCAGCTATGTCTCCATGAAACCAAAGGGAAAAAACAACATGGGAAAAGGTGCATTTCAGTGGTAATCAGAGAAACTCACATTAGAGCAGCGACAGGTCATTTTAATCTGCAGATTGACAAAATTAATGATAAAAGATACAGTTGTCAGTGATGGTGGGGAACAGGCAAAACAAACAAAAAAGATAAAGGCAAATTTTTAATGACGTGGAATGATCTTCAAGATACATCGGTAAGTGGAAAAGCAAGCTATAAAATGGAGTGTACCGTGTGATCATTTGGTTAAAAGCATGTAGATATGGGGATTATGAAGTATGTTTATATTCATTTTGTTTTTTAGTATTTCCTAAATTTCCAAATAGTGAATGCGGTTACTAAGGCGTTGAGTTGCATAAAGCACTGAGAATGAAGACAAAGTGAGGCTTTGTAAATTGTGTTTCACCATTTCTCTGGCCATTCTTCGCTACCAGATCATCATAGGCGCTTTCTTTGGTATCTCAGGCTTTTTCAGATTAAAAACAAAACAAAACAAACCCTGTGTTGTATTTGTATTTTCATGCTTAACACGTGGAAGACCAGAGAAGATGACTTACTCTGACAAGGGGCACAGCAGAATCGAGCATCTAAGCATCTTAAACCAAATCCCCCGACGTCGTCCCCTGGGTCGCGTCTGAGGGGCATTTCCGTGGTGCTGTGGCTGTTCCACAGGGGTCAGAGATTTTGTGCCTTGCTTCCTCAGGGCTGCTGGAGCGATGTAGCTGGCAGGCGGTCTTCCTTGCTGGTGTGCATCCTGTTCAGTGCCCTGGGGTATCTGATTCTTGGAGCATCTACCAACGTGTTCCTGTTTGTCCTTGCTCGAGTCCCTGTGGGTGAGTTCTAGCCCTGTGCCTGCGTCTTCATCCAGAATCAGTCAGTTTATGGGTCTGTACCAGGAGAGCCCGCCTTGCCTTGCAGTGCCTCTTAGATGAGATCTTTAAAGAGAACACAGTGGCAACAGCAGTTATCAGCTGTAACAGCGGGAGCTGCTGTCGGTTGAGCGCTTAGCATCCGTCAGGCTCTGCCCGCCTGTCCAGGGCGAACATCAGTGCTGGCGCATCAGGACCCGTCTCGGGTGCTGGGCGGTCTGGCGGGTAGGTAGTTACCGTGAAGGCTCTGGTCCAGTGCTCTCTGCCTGGCCATTCAGGGAGTGTTGCTCACCTGTGCGTCAGGGCAGCGACAGACCCCGCTACCCTCGGGCACAAGTCTGCAGCCCTGGACCTCGGCCCACATTCAGTTAAGCTGATTGTTTTTAACTAAACTCGAAAAGCTTAGAGCATAAAATAAGTCATCTTAACATAGAATTTTGGGGATTTCCACCCCATTTCTGTGACACATACACTTACTCTTGAGTCCCCCTCCAAACCTCATACTGAGCCTTTTTGTTGACCAAGAAATCAGTTTATGAAGGTCTTTGCTTTTGGTTTCTGGCTCTCTGTTCCTCACATTATCCTCAGGGTCAGGGTTAGCGCTGGGCGTGCAGAAAATGTTTATTCACTGAGCAAGTAAAGAGTCTCCGTGTAGAACCCGCCATGACCTGCACTTGGGTAACAGACAGGACTGGAGACCCTGGGACATCCTGGCGGGAGGTGGGCAAGCTGAGCGGTCAGGGCTTGGTTCAGATGAAGTTGACCAACCAGGATCGTGAGGCTGGACTAGGAATCCAGTCACGGTGGGCGGAACCTGCAGGCCACAGAGGGTCAGAGCAAATGGAGATCAGGACCCCAGCAGGGCTGGGGATGAAGGGCAGCGTCCCCAGGGAGATACTTTTGATGTGGAAAATGCACAGAACGTGTTTCTTGTCTCCTTACAGGTCTCTTTAAACACACACTGTCCATTTCAAAGGCTCTGCTCTCTGATCTGGTTTCAGAGAAGGAACGGCCACTTGTGCTCGGACAGTTCAACACGGCGTCCAGTGTGGGCTTCATCCTGGGCCCTGTGGTCGGGGGGTACCTTACTGAACTGGACGGCGGGTTTTATCTCACAGCCTTCATCTGCTTCTCCATCTTCATTCTCAATGCTGGTAGGTGGACGTGGGGTCATGACAAGATTGTCGGGTTTGCCTGCATCCCGAACCACCTGGCTGCCCTCTCTCCTTAGAATTTGTTTTTCTTAGAATGGGCGGACTCATCGTCCACAAATGCTGGTCAGATCATGGCATCCCCTGCTGCAGACCCCCAGGGGCTCCGTTGTGCTAAAGCCGTGTGTGTGTGTGTGTGTCGGGGTCACGGGACGCAGTGTGTGTGTGTGTGTCTGTGTCTGTGTGTGTGTCGGGGTCACGGGACGCAGGTTTGTCCTGACAACTGCAGGGGGTCCTACCTGTAGGCAGGTGACCCCGCGGCCTCTCAGATGAGGACACAGTAAATGCGCGCTGCTGTCATTATGATTATTTTTATTATCATTTAAATTACACTCTTCCTTTTAGTTCATCAGCAACAGTCCTTTCACATTTTTATCCAGATTCTGTAAAATAGCCAAGGACCCTTTTAAAAATGAGAATAGATAAAAAGGACGTGCAGGCCTGCGTTCTCATGTGGTTAGTCCCGTGTCGTGAGTTACTCCCTGGCTAATACCAAGTCCCCAGCGTAGTTGCTGCAAACAGCCTTTAGCAGCACGAAAGACCTCCTGGTCCACGTGGCGCTTAAGTGCTGAAGGGCTAAAACCCTGCAGGGCTGAGTTCAGAAAGGTTTCCTAGAATGGCAGGCTTGAATTCAGTTTTAAGAAAGTTTGGGGGCACAGATGGGCAAGAGGCCATTCTAGTGGGAACAAATGAGGCAGGAACGAGCCAGTCACCTGAGGGCGGAGGGCGGATGCCTGCTCAGAGCTGCAGTGTCAGGCTGTGTCCTGGTCTATGAGGATGCCCCCACCCCGAAGGCTGTGGGGGGTGACTTGCAGAAGCACACAGAGGCCCTGGGTGGGGCTGGATCCAGGCCAGTGTTGCCCCAAAGGTTGTGGTCTAAAGCTGCGCCTCCCCGCCCCACGTCAGGACCTGCATCTCTGTCCGAAGCATCATGTTCCCCCTCCCCCACCAACAGCCCTCGCCTGTAATCTGATTTCCAGGTTACTGTCCAAACCCCCTTTTAGGTTGGACTTTCTTGAGAGCACGGATGTCTGAGGTCTTGTTTGTCAATAGAGCCTGGTGTTTAGTACAAGATTCAGCATTGAGGCAGCATCAGTCTTCCCTCTTGGAATAGATGAAGGAAGGGTGGTGCACAGATGATGCTGGGGCAGACGGTGGACACACAGAACTGGGAAAGTGCGGAAGGGAGGAGGAATTTCCATGTGAAGCAGGAAAATGTAGGTACAGAATGATGGGTCAGGAAACCACAGAGGCTCTTGAGCTGGGAAAAAAATGACTATTTTACAGGTAGAGAGTTTTTTTATTAGGGTGAATAGCAGAATTCTGGTGTCGAAGTGGAGTCTGGGGAGCTGCGGGAATGGTTACAAACAGGATGCAGCTCAGTGAATTTACCTATTCAGAAATGCAGAGTGGTGGCCTCCCCACGCAGCTGCTCATCCCCCCGCGAGGTCCTTCTGGAGCCCCGTGCCCCCGCCTCTGTTAACAGGTCTCCTGCCACTTAACAGGTCTCGTGTGGCTCTCTCCGTGGAGTGACGGGAAACGCGGCGGTGCAAAGGATGGCCCACGATGGGGCCAGAGCCGTGCGCTTTGGAGAAGGACCAGCTCTGGGACGCAGGCAGCGGCCAGGCCGCCGCAGGTGGAGGTGGCGGCCACCCTGTGGGGCCTGCGGCACCTGCTGGGCTCGGCCGCGTGGGACGTGCTCCTGGTGCGCTGGCTCATGGCCCTGGCGGTCATGCTGTACCACAGCAACTTCGTCCTGGCCCTGCAGGAGCGCTTCGGGCTGCGACCACGCATGGCCGGCTACCTCCTGGGCTCGGGCAGCGCCCTGGGGGCCCTGGCCGGCCTCGCGCTCGGGCCAGTGCTGCGGCTGGCCGGCCACCAACCGCGCCGGCTGCTGCTGCACTCGAGCGCGCTCACCTGCCTGCTGCTGCTGGCCTTCGCCGCCACCCGCAGCGTGGCCGTCATGGTCCTCTGCTCCACCCTCCTGTCCGTCTCCACCTCCATTGGCCGGACCTGCATCACCGACCTGCAGCTGAGCGTGGGTGGCGCCGGCGCAGGCGGCGCCCTCCTGGGCCTGGGGCAGTCGGTGACGGCCGTGGGCCGGGTCGTAGCCCCCCTCCTCTCGGGGGTGGCCCAAGAGGTCAGCCCCTGCGGCCCCCCTGGTCTGGGGGCGGCGTTGGCCTTAGCGGCTGTGATCATCATGTCACTAAACAGACCTCACTCTGGAAGCAATGGGAGCGACAGGTTAAAAAGCGAGTAGGTGCATTTGGACCACGCCAAGAGACAGAGTCCGAGCTGTGTCCGCGAGGACAGAGGCCACACTCAGGGGTGCTCCAGAAAGGGTCACTGAGACAGCACGTGGCTGTGCTTCGCTGGTGGACATCCAGTCCGGCCTGCCAGACGACGAGAACCAGCATTGGACACGCGTTGGAGCAAAGCTGTGCGAGAGGAGAAGGGATTCAGTGTTTCTCCACGCGTCTCCCCTTCCTCCTGGCCGGCGGGGTTAGAATTCTCCAGGGGAGCAGTGTATCCCCAGTGCAGGACAGGGAAGCGGTGGCGAGGCAGCAGACTCCAGTATGTGCAAAGAGGGAAGCAGCCATCGGGATTCCCCTGATAAATAAAAGGGTAACATGAACACTGACCAGCTGGACCCTGGTGTCAGGTGAAATTCTCTCAGCTGAGAGGGTCTTTCCTGCTGTTGAAATCCCCGAGACTGAAGAAGCTGCTTTATTAAAACCAGCCTGTCACATTCTCAGATCACACCAAGGGCCCACCCGGGATGCTGGTTTTAAACCAGACGCCCATCCTCACCCCCAGAGATGGAGCCCATGGGCCTGGGAGAGGCCCAAAAGTCTACTTTGAGCCCCACTTGCAGTTTGTCCTGGAGCTAGAGAAAGGCTCGTTCTGAGACCTGGTTTTCATTAAAGGCCAGAGGCTTGGTTGTCTTCCGTGATCGCTGAGTCAGTTAGGACTGTCTGTTGAGATCATGCGACTCCAGGGTATTACACTTTCTGCTGCTCTCAGCACCCACCTCTTCACTGGGAGAAACAGGTCCACGGGGCTGCTCCCCTGCCCCGCAGGCAGCCCAGCCTGCCCGGGACCACAGCTCCCTGGCACCAGGCGCGACCATCTGCTCCTGGAAGCAGCTCTCGCTGGGGCCGCCTCAGTCTGGTGGCGAAGGAACCTGGCAGAGAAGCCAAAGCACAGGAATGCTCTTCAGATGAACATCTTGTTCAGAGCACGAGAGAGTCCCGGGTCGGGCCCCATCGGAGGAACTTAGTTCTATGGTGTCTTGTGTATTTATGATGAAGACTTAATTAGAAGTTTGAAGATTGTCCTTCTTCCTATCTAGCTACAAGAAAAACACTAACTTTTTATTAAGCGGCATAAACTTCTATGTAAGTGCTGAGTGTTTTTGAGGAAGCCAGTATATTAGATGGCCACGCTCCAAAGGGGCCACCAAACTGTCATGCAGGGTAGACTCAGAGGGACAATAGATAGTGAGAGGTTTATGCAATGAAGTAGAATTTCAGAGGAATTTCTCCAAAGACTCTTTTTTTCATCCTCAGAAATAGGTAAGTTTCTTTTAGAAGCTCTTAATATAGTCATTTTTATTTCTTAAATCATAGCAGTTTGATTTTGAAGTCAAATATAAAGCCTGTAAGCTCAATGAGGCTTTCTAACCAGAGACATGGAAACACCGAGGACCCTAAAGACTGACCTTCGTAAGAGTAGAGACACGTTTTTGTTATTCTCCACTACTAAGTTTAGTGTTTTGTTCACGTGACTTTTTTTAGATAAATGTTTTCTTAGAGTTCCTTTTAAATCGTCTAACATGCTGCTACTCAAAGTGTGGGCCAGGGACCAGCAGCGCCCCAAACCCTGGAGGTCGTCCGACGTGCAGACACTCGCCCCCCTCAGGCCTGCGGGGGCCACTTGCACAAGACTCCCGGCTGCATTGTTTGCAGAGTGAAGTTTGAAAACCGCCAGTCTGATGGACCATTTTCGTATTGTTTATGGACTGTGACCTCAGGGAAATTAAATCTGCTCCGAGTTTGTGTTTTTAAATTCTCTTGAGTACCTTCTGTAATCTTCTCCAAGTGTTAGGTTAAGCCACGTGAAATTGCTGTTTTTGTTAAGTCAGAAATATCCACAGCTACATCTGGTTCAGCTTAACCATTGCGTGGAGCCTCGCTTCAGAGGCACCGGGCTTGCCCAAGAAGTCGGTGAAGGAAATGGTGCCCCTTCCAGCGCTTTGGCAGCCCCAGCTGTAAGTGCTCTGAAGCAGCCTGGGCTCAGGGCTCCAGAAGAATGGGCCTTCTCCCCAGAGGGACGTGCACCTGTGCTCACGTCCGGAGGGGTGAGCGAAGAGCAGAAGGGGACGGGCATGCCTGGCACAGAGTGACACATGGGGGCTCACCCTCCCCACCACGGCCCTGAGGTCTGGTGTGAGTTCCGCGTGGAGCCCGGGGAAGGGCTGGACTGAGGGGGGCGGGGGTCCTCTGTCCTGGCTGCGTGTTAGAGGCACCTGATGCCCAGAGCCTGCCCTGGGCCTCGGGAGGCAGATCCGAGGTGCCCAGGTGCTCGGTGCCCGCCCCAAGTTGAGCATCTCCGGGTTGGATCCTGAAGGGCTCACCTGCCATGCCTGGGGGTGACTTGCAGTCCTATTGAAGACAGGAGCCCTAAGCACCTTCACCTTTTAGGAAGGCCCCTCTGGCTGCAGCAAGGAAACTTAATGGAGGCCAGGAAAGGGGCCAGGATCCCAGAGGCTGGGGAAGAGGGTGGGGAGAGGTGGATGGAAGGAGGCAAGTGGGGGAAATCCCAAATGCCTCAGGGAGACCCTGGGAGGGACCGGGGCCGCCCAGGTGTCCGGTCTGACAGAGCTCAGCAGGCCAGGTTAGAGAGGCTAATGGAGAGAGCAGAGCACATGTGCTGTCCTGTGTTGCCCGCAGGGACACCTGTGGGCATTTAGGGGGCATTTACGAACAATCAGAACATTAAGAAGGCGTCTTTTCCTGAGGATGCTTCTGTAAGGCATCTGGGCGGGTGTGCAGTGTTTCCCTGCCCATCCCCCCAGGACCAGCATTTAAGAGTCTCTGAGGGGAGGTTCCTGCAGATCTAGCCAGGATGCAGTCTAACGCAGCTCTTCTTGGAACAGGGGGATGGGCTGGAAAAAAACGTCCAGTCCTATTTTTTTTCCTGAAGAATCTGCCAGTTACATGGTAACAATTTGTTAATAATAAAATCCCTTTAAAATGTTAATGAGGTGTTATTTATTCTAATAAATCACAATTTTTAGAAGCCATAGTTGCATCCTGATGTATATTTTAAGTCAGGATTCTGAAGTGCTGGAAAACTATGGCCGCCTGTATGCTAAGACATGTCTTAATAACAAAAACAAGTCTTTGGCTTGTAAACCATGTAATACCAAATATATACCTAATCTGAAATGTGTTCTACACTGAGGGTGAGCAAAGAGAATGGACCCACAATCGATTGTTCTTAGAGGTAGTAAAGTAGAATTGTATTTGAAAAAGAAATTGTAGAAAGTTAGAAATGGAAAAACGATGGACCAGTGCAACACTGAAAACTTTCAACGACCCCCTCACCGTGAGGGTGTTTGGCAGCACACGCGCTGACATGCCGTCGGAGGGTGTCAGCCACGTGGGGGAGAAATCTGAAGGGAGGTGGCACTCCTCATGGACGAGAGCTGTGGTCACTGCCAGGCAGCCGTCACCTGCTGGACTTCCGCTTGCCTGACAGGTGGGCTGAAGAAAGAACCTGGTCTAAAGGTGGGATATAAAGTACTGGCCAGCTGCACGCTTTGATCTAAACGTGAAATAAAAACATGAACCAGGAAACCCTAGATCACCCGATAACTCTGAATCACGAGCGTGACTTGTTCACGTTCATGAAGGGAATCCATTTTCAGGGTTCAGGCCTATGCAGATAATGCCAACGACTACTTCAACTGCACAAAGAAACCCTTCAGTCACTCCTGAAAGATTAAAGTTCAGTGTGAACTTGGAACTGACAAAACATTACGGCCCTCATACTTGTTTGTGAAATGCCAGGTTTCACATAAACGTGATCTGGACAATGCGATAAATGCGGAGCACGCTGAGACGTGTAATAAACCACAGGGCTTCTCACTTTTTATGGAAACAGACCTGCCCCCCGCCCCAGGTAGAGCAGCACCCCCCGGACTACAGAGCTTAGCAGAGGCCTAAGGGAGTTGCAGCCTGGACGTTTGGGGGACATATATAGCAAACGCATGTTTTTTTAAAAATGTCAGACTTTGAGGCCAATTTCTAGTTGTTTGCTAGCCGACACAGCTGCTCCCAACAGTTGGCCTTGGCTTCGTACGTCAAGAAATAAGCCCTGACTCTTGTAAGTAGTTCAAATCAAATTTGTTACAATAAACGCCAAAGACCCATCAAAATTCCATAGTCACATTGGAACTTTGGTTGGATCCATCATTATTGAAACCAGAGAATCATTTAAAAAGGATGCAGATGTTTCTATACCAGAAACACATAATTTAGATTGTTAACAATATTTAGTTAAAAGGTTTCAACTCCATACCCTCTCCTTCTACAGAGTCTGGAATTTAATTCATTAAAAAAGAAGAAAGTATATAGAAAAAAGGTAAATAAAGTCAAATTTATTTTTCTTTTTTTTTATCATTCCACAAATAAGGAAAAAATTTCAACGGATAATAAACATAAAATGACAGAAGTGTTCCTTTTTAGAAATTTACACAATGTTACCCATACTTTTTATCTGATTTTTAATTAGTGAAAGCAGAATTTGGTCTACCTGCTTAACAAGACAAGGTGTCATAATAAACATTTTCATGTTTTTTCCATCATTTCCCAAAAGTTAGACACCTTAAAATATTAATGTAGGACACCAGGAAAAATCAGGAAATTTATTTTTAAGGTCATTTTCCATTTCAACCTTCCATTTCAGATTTCGTACACTGTCACTTCTGAGAATTTACTCTTCAGATTCTCAAAAATACACATCACGTATCTTAATGAATCACAGTCCTATAATAAAATTCTAAATTAAGTCAGTTTTCATTTATTTTCAGCAGATGAAACATATATTTTATATAAATATTTTCATTTAAAATTAAGAATTTTGGCACAGAATCCTAAGCGTGTAGTTTAAATTGTGTCTACACTGCTTTCCACTGATCAACTTGGGAGAGTGTGGGCAGGAAATTGCTCTTTATGAACTTGTACCTTGTGTGTTTGCCCTCCCCTCAGTCTCACGCCCAACAATCTAGCAGTATTCCAGCATTTTAGAACATGAGAAAAAAAAAAAGGTAGATTTACTTCTAGAAAAAGGAGATAAGAACCACGGCCAAGAGTTTCTAAGTACAGTATCTTTCTGTTTAATTTCCAGAAATTAGACAGTGGTCACTTGGATCATTTGCTGTATCTCCAGTGTGAATCCAAGGGACCACATGAGTGGCTTCATTTCATAGCTAAACCCAGAAATTTAGTCTTGTTCTGGTGAAGTTTTAAAGAGGGGGCTTTCTGGGAAAATGACAGGCCAATGAAATCTATAGCTTACGAGAGAGATTTCAGTATTAATCCTAAATGACCATACTCCACTTCTTGTCTTTCTTCTGTACTTTTAAAAAGTACGCAGAGGAGCAGAACCCAATTTTATATGAAGAATTTGAGCTACTACTTTGTTGAAGGGGGAGAGGTAACAAATTACAGACTAGTGCAAAAAAAAAAACCCCTAGAACTCCCACATTCTCCAAAGTGCTTCCTGAATAAAATCCAAAACCGGAATTCTCACCCATCTGTTAAATATTTGGAATCCTCTTTATATAAAGATCCATCCTTGTCTACTTGGAGCCTCTGACCTGGATTGGAAGCTCTAGAATGCTCTAAAAGTTCTGGAGCAGGTGGTCGTAGGTGGGCATGACAGGGACTCCCCTGCCTCGGCCTCCCAGGATTGCACAGTATCAAACCCCCGCCTGCCACAAGCCAGTGCCGCCCTGTCCCCTTCTTCACACACCCCATGGGGCCCACATGGATGGCACTTTGTCACGAGCTGGCACTGAGTCTCACTGGTTTCCCCCTGGCGGTCTCTCTCCCTGTACCGTGTAAACACGAAGGGGAGATGGAATCTGTGTCACCCGCAAGTCCGCTGTAGGAGGAGGAACAAATGGAAAACCAGCCACACTCATAACTCGGGGAGCCAGGCCACCTCGTCTGCCTGGATGTTCCGACGGCTGGAGTCCTTGGGGGTCTCTGTGCTGCTTCCCCCCAACCCGCTGGACAAGGTCGCCCCTCCACGCCCAGCTGCCCCTCCCCCTCCATCCCCAGGAGCAGCCCCTGACGCCTTGGACAGGTGTTCTAAGTACTTTTAGTGCCAAGTGCTTACACGAATGACAGATACACATAGTTTTTCATAAATAAAATCTGAGGCATATATGCATATATTAAAACTTTTCACCAACAAAGGTGTGTTAAAAATTTCAAGTTCTGTCCTTCAAGTTCAATAAAGGCACGCGTGTTTTTTTCTTTTCTTTTCCTTTCTTTTTCTTTAGGCTTACAAAGACTACAACTGCTAGCAACAAGTCCTAAAAGCCACTTCATGGGACTTTTTTAATTCGATTCTCTTCTTCCCGGGGTAAGCGCTGGCCCCGTGAATCCTGGCCTGATTCTGCTACCAAAGACAGTATTTAGATGCAGAGAGGGTTGCAAGTGGACTCCCCGCTGCCGGGCGGGGGTCACCCCAGGTCTGCTTTGGCCTTTTCCATCAAGGCTTCTCGCTGCCCAGCCGGCCCTTCCGGTGTCCAGGTTCCGATGCCCTTCGCACCAGCCTGGGTGGCGCCTTGGGTCGGAGGGCTTGAGTCGCCCCGTCTCCGCGCACGGAGCCAAACTGGCCTTTGGAGAGGAGGGGCTGGCACAGCACCCCCGGGGCCTGGGCGCCCCCCTCTTTGCCGTGGGCAGCCGGCGGGGTGCGGGGCCGCCCCTGGTCGGAATCCACGTCTACCTCGTTCTTCCATTCCATCTTATAGGCCTGGGAGCTTCTCTTCGAGAACTGTTCTGGCAAGAAGCGCCTCGCTCGGGGCTGCAAGTTGAGGACGGTGGTCCCGACATCTGGGTCTGAGTCGCTGCTGTCGTCACCTGCAGGGGAGCAAAGGGACAACGTGGGCGGGCACCGCAGGGAGGTGTGACAAGCGACGGGACAATACGATAGTAGGTCCGGCACCTGCTGCGCCCCCTGGGGGTCGGGCGCGGAGGTCAGAGGGCACACGCTAACGCCCCCGAGTCCTGGGCATGCGCGTAAGCCCTTTGAGCGTCCGTGTAGACGAGTGTACACGGACTGATTCTGAAGAGCTTACCACGTGCCAGGCACTGCCCTAAGCACTTTTAAATGCAGTAACCTACTTAATCCTCACATTCACCCACTTTGCAGATGAAGTAACTGAGGCTCAAGAGATGCTAGTAAGTGGTGGTGGCACTGGATGTGAAACTGAGACCGCCTGGGGGCAGCAGCGAGGCTCTCCCCTGCCCCGACCCAACCCAACAGTCCCAGGAGGGCTCAGCTCGGTCCCTGGCACCGGTAAACAGACCATTCATTAGCTGTTATTATGAAGATTCTTGTCTTGATCTCGGATCTCAGGCACAGCTTTCTTTCCTCTATATTTTCATAAAATGGTCAAAACACCAATATGCACTTTCCAAACAAAGGAAGGAGGCATGATTAGAACCAGCTGTCTGCCAAAATGCAGGTCTGAGAGCACTGAGGGTAACACAGTGGATGAGATGCTAAGACTCTTGCGAGCCGGGAGCCTGTATGACAGGCGCACGGTGGTGACATGCCCACTGTTGGAAATAGCCCCCCCTCCTCCCCTGGTACCCCTTCTCATTGGTCACCTCACCCTCTATTTCCAACAGCCATCATCGGACTTTCCTCTTCTTGGTTAATTAAATAAACAAGCCAAAAAGAGGAGGGGTATTACTGATACATTCCACATTTTAATAACATGATATCCTAGCATATTTCTTCTCAGGTTCATAGAAAATGGAGTCATTACCTGCATTAGAAATATTCTTTTTCTTTTGTAGCTTTTCTGGAAGCTTTGTATTTTTGGGTAAGGATAAGTATCGAGAAGCTGAAGTGGAAGCCTGTGGAAAAAAACAAAAACAAAAACAAAACCTTCTTCATGTGTCATTTATTGTATATTATAAGTTTAAAATTCTATGGCAAAACTTGGTGCTAAAAATTAAAAGTTTAGTTCTTGATTCCAAAATTACTGGGTGATGAGCTGTAGGGGTGGGGAATGGCATTCCAAGCAATAATTATTTTATTTAACATAAGTAAACTTCTTCTAAAATATAATGGAATCAGTACTAAGGAAAACAGAAGTGGGACCATTAGAAGCAAGACATGAAAACCACTGGGTTCTCTAAAAAAAAGCTTCGGAAACACCCACTTATAAGGGCATTACTAAAAGAGACTTGGAACCTACGCAGATGGGGAAGAAGTTATATGGAAAATGTAGCATGGTCAAGCTGTATTTATTTAATGTCCTGAAAATGGCATTTAAAAAGTATGACTTGCGATTTTGCTGGCATTTCCAAAGCTAGTCTCTAGTAATCTTGTTCACACATAACCGTCTTGGTCTCTGACAACCCAATATAGAATATTATTAAAACTGACTAGATTCAATTTCTTGTAATAACATATAATGGAAAAGAACCTGAAAATAAAAAAATGTATGTATGTATGTGTATAACTGAATCACTTTGCTGGACACCTGAAACTAATGTTGTAATCAACTACACTTAAATAATTTTTTTAATGAGATGCAGTGCCTGCTATATTCGATCAATCTATCAGCATATTATTTTAAAGTGGCTTCCTTATCAATGGTGATGCCCTGGACCAAGTGCACTGCTGAGCGCACTGAATCGGAACCTCCCCTGTCCCGCGCATGTGCATGGGTGCGTGTGTGCGCGCACACACACACACACACGTTCTTTTTGAAGCTCCCACGCACACATGGGGGCCAGCCCACCTTCAGGCTGCACCCTCTCCCTGGAAAGGGCAAATATTGCTTAAATGAAGCCTGGTCCCGCCATTCGGTTTAAGACTGGAATTTGTCCAACACTTCCTTGTCCTCCCAGCCTCCTTCCACAGCCCTTCTGTGTTTTTGCACAGCGCTTCTTGCCTCTAATGTAACAGATAATGTTCTTACTCCATCCATCACGGACCACCTTCTCTGCTAGAATGCAAACCCTGCAAGGGAAGGGGCCTTTGTGCTTTTGTTCACCCGTGCCCTCCAGTGCCTGGCCCGCGTCTGGAACTTAACAGGTGTTCGAGAAACATCGAGAAAGACTCTATAGTTCACTCCATCCCGGATTCCTGTGTATCAACCCCCAGCAGCCACCCCGTCTGTCGGCAGACCCTCCAGATGGGCTGCAGGCTCCGCTCTTGGGAGCCTTGTGCATCCTGGAGGGCGCAAAGTCCCCTTACCCGGTGCTCCCGATTCAGGCTACTGTCCTTCCGAATGCTTTCCCGCAGGCTGTGCCTCCGGCGGATCAGAATCTCCTTGGCCTGCCGCTCACTGGTGTCGGCCGTCAGATTGTGTCTGTTGTACGACAGAGTCTGAAAGGGAAGCGCCAGCAACATTTCACAAAAACACCCATCGCTGCCCGGAAACTCCCAAACTTGACTGCCTTTCTTTGGCTTGGCGCCTCTGAGAGACACTTAACAATGAATGGGCAGAGGGGGAAAAAAAGTATAAAAGTTAACATGCTTTCAAATTTGGAAAGAATTCATGTTCTAATCAAAGTCAGTGAGTACCTTTTTTTTTCATTGAAAAGTGTGATCTTTACACATGAGAAAAATGATGGAATTCATCAAGTACCTTTGACCATCTTGAACGCTCTTGTGTTTATCCATCATGAGTGGCCGGGGGAAAACGCATGTCATCTTCTACTACATTCCCTACCGAACAGTAATTACAGGAATAAAAACCAACCACTGTGGGCCACTTGGTGGTGCCACATCCCTTCGATTATTTAAGAACATTTCTTCTTTTCAAATTGATAAAGCCTCCACCAGCAACGATCGTGTCCTGGTATTTGAAGCAGTCAAATGTAGACGCTCGGGCTGCCCAGAGCATACATTTCTAGTTTTATACTCCATGCAGAAAACAGTTCCCTAAAATAAATTGCAATTAGACATTACGTTCATTTCCTGATAGAATCACTGGATACTTCTTGCAAAGATTGCTTTATCCCCAGAACTACAGGACATCTCATGGCAGTAAACAAAAGTAACACAGAACAACACTCAATCCCTGCCTCGAGGAGTGTGCTATCCAGTCGGGCACTTAACGCTAACGCAGTAATAAGAAATCGCGAGGTGAAGTGCTAAGGTTACACAGTGCGCATGAGCTCCAAGTGCCATCCTGTTCCAAAATAGGCCTGGGAATAACAGAGGCTGTTGGAGAAACCTTAAAAATTGGAGACTAGGGACCGGCTGACAGGAAGGAGTGGGACATTCCAAGCAGAGACACAGCAGAGCGCAGCAAGAGCCAAGGAATGAAAACAGAGCTTGTCCCTCTGTGGGGGGCGGGGGTGGACCTAAGGTTGGATAAGGTGGAATTTAGATCCCAAAGGCTGAAAGAATAGTTGAGCCCAGAAGCCACAACTGTTGTTTTGTCTCATTTATAACAGGAGGATGCACAGGGAACTGTGCTCCATATCTTGTAATGGCATATAATGAAAAAAAAAAAAAAAAACCATGAAAAGGAATACATGCACATGTATCACTGGGTCACTCGACCGACGCCAGAAAGTAACGCCTCACTATAAACCAACGACACTTCAGTTAAAAAATAAATTAATTACATTAAATTTTAAAAAATACAGTAAAAAAGGAGGACACACCCATTAAAAGGTGCTTCTGGCAAAGGGCGTGGGGGCAGCAGAGTTGCAGGATGGAAAGGGGATGGCCTGTGGCGAGGCCAGCTGAGAAGCAACAGAAATGACTGGACGTGAGTGACCCGGACCCCTGACCAGCTCTGTGGCCCATGTGTCACTTCACCTCGCTGTGCCTGAGTTTCTCCATCTCTGAAATGGAGACGACAGTAACACTTATCACCTGCTGGAGGATTCAGTGAGTTAATACACACAGTGTGCTGGAATGGGGCCTGGCAAACCGTATGACATTATTAGCAACGTAGTAGAATAAGGTGCTGACCACAGCAATGTGCTGAAAGACTGGACTCAAGGCACAGGAAAGGAGGAAACGATTGCCCTTTGTGAATAACTAAGAAGGTTAAATGTGTTTTTAAAGGTCTTCCAAGTGAGAAAGCTATTTCATTAAAAGAAATTTAAGAGCAATCAGTTACTTTTTCCCCCATTAGTTAACACACACATATCTATTTTATTATCTCCAAGCCCATAGCAGCAGAACTCCCAGCTCCCAGGGACTCCAGCCTCCAGCCTCTACCCAGGCGTCCATCTGGGAGGAGAGTGGTACCCAACAGGACAGGGCACTAAACGCTGAAGTGGGTCTGAGGGAAGGAAGACGCCAGGTGTGGGACCTGAAGGGGCTGCCGTGATGGTGGGACAACAGCCACTACAACTGCTTGGCATCAAATCAGAAGGCAGATTTTTAGTGAAAGGCAAGTACACATTTTGCTAAATGAATTATTCTTACTCGCTGACGGATTTGGTAGAGATTTCTCGATAACAGTTCCCGAATTTCATCCATTTCACCAGGTGTGAGCTTCCTTATCTTTTCTTCCCGACAGTCACTGCGAAAGTTCAGAACAAGACTATTTCACTATTGAACGAGTATTGGAATCATCAGGTTTCTTTCTTACAGCTGTAATATCATTATAGAAGACGAATCTTAAGAATAACACAGGGATGATTCAATATTTTTAAATAATTCAGAATCTGAAAATGTTTATTTCGGTGTCAAAATCATTCACACACGTTTAATCATGCACACGTTTCCAGGGTCTGTTCATGCAATTATTATTTTTTTAAGGAATAAAGATCACAGTAGCTTGTAATGCTATTTCTATTTCTACAGAATGTAGTAATGTAGTACTATTTCTAATACTCCATGAATAAAATAGCATAGGATTTTTTTTCCAACAGAAACTTCATTAGTTGTATTTTGCTATTATGACCCATTCTTTTAACTACTTCATTAGCAATGTTTGCAAAGACACCATTTATAATATGTATGTATATATAGGGGACTCTCGTTATTCAGGGATTCCATATTTGCAAATTCACCTGCTTGCCCCAGCTTATTTATAAGCACATTATCAACACTCAGAGCACTGTCCCAGTCTCTCACACACGTGCAAAGTGCAAAACGTTCGGAGTCGCTGGACACGCAGGTTCCCAAATGAGGCTGAACGCGCCAGTGTTTTGACTTCTTGTCTCAGCTCTCGTGCTGTGAAAAAGGTCCATTTCACAGCCTATTTAGTGACACTTTCGTCACATTTTTTGTGCTTTTTATTGGTGATCTTGCTGTTTTAAATGGTCCCCAAGCATAGTTCCGAAGTGCTATCAAGAAGGCTGCGATGTGCCCTCTGGAGGAAATTCGTGATCAGCTTTGTTCAAGCGTGAATTAGGGTGCCGCTGGTCAAGAATTCAGTGCCAATGAGTCACAACATGTATTAAGTAAGGTGTCTTTAAAACATACAAAAAAACAGGATGTATGTATTGACTGGCTGATGAAAATGTTGGGACCAGAGGCTCACGGGAACCCAGCCCTGTATAGGATCAAGTCCAGACCCACTTTCACTCGAAGAAACTCAATCCCAGGGAAATAGATGGACCAGCATAAGGTCACACCGTGAGTTACTTGCAGAGCTGGGACGATAAAATCAGTCCTTCTGCTCCATCCATCATTATTTCTAATGCAGTGCGATGGCTCTACCTCTGAGCCTCCCTCACCACTCTTTCTTTTTATTCTGCACTGTGTAAACTCCCATAATTTTTATAGGGGACCATAGTCCTACTAAAAAAAAAATCGTAGTTTATATGGCTGGGTGTGATCTGGAGCTAACTCGCTCATTTCAGCCCTCCCATAGGTAGCACTTTAATCAGGTGATATTTTGTTTAAATGAGCTCCAAGCTCACCCGTGAAAGAAGAAACCAGTGGAACCCCTAATTTCCGTCACTTTTGTGACAGAGGAGGATCAAAGCTTACACGATGAACTCATTTGCTGTTCTGCGGTGGAGCTGCTGTAGGAGTCCGAGCAAGGCCCTTTCCCCTTCTGGGCCTTCATTTCCTCATTTTTTAAATTAGAGCGACAGACTAGGCCAACACATCTCACTCCTGGCTGCGTGTTCGGAACTTCTAGATAACGTACAAACATACCTACACCTGGGCCTCGGCACCAGAGATCCCGATTGTCTCGGTCTGGTTGGGGCCCAGGCACTGGTGCCATGTACATGCTCCCGAGGTGTTTCTAGCACACAGCCTGGGATGAGACCCACCTCACTAGGTGACCACTAATGCTCCTTCCGAGCCTTAAACTGTGATTCTGTGGATAATCGACGAGAAAACAGCCGTGTAATTACATGCATGTTTGTAACAGTGAACACAACACGCCTGAAAACATTCCGTTTCAAAATGCCTGCTAAAGAGGCTTTAAATTACTTCAAAAGGCGGCGACTTGCCCAAAGCAAGTATAATAAAGGCATAACCATCCTAAACATGACAAAATGTGTCCTGACTGGCCAGTTCCAAAATGACATGACACGGTGTGACGCCACGTGATGCGCACATCTCCAGGCTTCCACATTGTAACCGGAAGCTCATTTTGCCGTGAGGTCTTAAGGTGCCACACTAAGACATCAGTTAAATTTGTCATTCCTTCTTTACGATGTCAAATAACTGTAAAGACACACTTGGTAATACGACTCATCTGCAGAACGGAACTTACTTTAGAGACGCAAAAGAAGGGACAGCACTCATCATCCCGGTCTCCGCCATCTCAATGGCGTGTTTTATTTCAAGCTTTTTATATAAGGACACGATGCTTGACTTGGGTTGGTTTTCCCGAATCAAAAGCTTCCGCAGGTATTTGTCATCAAACTTCTTAAATCTAGAAATAAAGAAAATCAAAGAAACAAAGAAAATCAATTAATTAATACAACACTGAATAAGGAAAAAAACCCTGTTTTTGCCAATAAAATCAACATATATGTATAAATTGGTAAAACCAATGAAATATACACATGGATATATGTATATAACATACACACATATACATATATATATCATATCGGTATGTTTTTATGTATAGCCATGACATACAGGTATGTAATGTTCACTAATTATAGATTAAGAAGCATGTATTTCTATATTTCCTACTTCTCTGCTCCTCCCTTTCAGCAAAATTACTCACAATTGTTGCTAATTCTCCCTATGTCCAGGTCCTCTCCTCTGACTCTCTTGAACACTCTCACAGATCAGGATTTGCCTCCAACTGTCCACTGAAGCTACTCATACTGAGGTCATCGGTGATTCCCCCACCAACGGCCAACTACTGGTCCTCACCTCTCCTGCTTAAAGCACTGTCTCCCCCGGGGTTTCCTCCTACCACTTCCTCAGCCTCTTTTGTTGGGTCTTTTCCTTCTTTCTGGCCCCTTAAGTGGGGGTGGGCTCAGCCCTTGGTCTCCTTCTCCATCTCCACCCACTCCCCTGGCACACTTGTCCAATCTCATGGATTTTGACAGCATCTCTATGCCCATGACTCCCAAACTTGTACCTCCAGCTCCAATCTCCCTCCCAAGCCCAAGAAATGAGCCTTCAGCCCCCTGCTCAGCTTGGCTATCTAACAGGCACCTCACACCTGACATGCCCAAACAGATCTTCCCCACGGTCCTCCCCATCTCAGTTAGTGACCACGCCACCAGGTCAGAACCCCTGACGTCCTCTCTGATTCTCCTCCTTCTCTCATATCCCATGCTATGGCCTGAATTGTGCCCCCCCCCAAAATTCACGTGTTGAATTGCTGCTCCTCAGAACGTGACTGTACCTGGAGACAGGATCTTTACACTGATGATTCAGCTAGGGTGAGGTCACTCGGGGGCCCAAGTCCAGTATGACCGGTGTGTGCATTACAAGAGGGAATTTGGACACAGGCACACACAGAGGGAAGGTGATGTGAAGCGGCAGGAAGAGGGACATCTACAAGCCAAGGGGGGCGGCCTGAAGCAGATCCTTCCCTCACAGCCCTGGAAGGAAGCAAACCTACTGACACTTTGCTCTTGGGCTTCTGTCCCCCAGAACTATGGGAAAATGCGTTTCTGTGTAAGTCCCCAGTGTGTGTACTTTGTTACAGCAGCTCCCGCAAACGAATATTCCTTATTCACTCCATCAGCCGTTTTTGTTGGTTCCACCATCAAAACACATACACCATCTAACCATTTCTCACCACTTCTCCCGCCACCTCCCTGGTCCAGGACATCATCATCTCTCAGCAGATTCCTGCAACAGGCACCTGACTGGCCCCCCTGCTCCCTCCCCTGTGTTCCTGCAGCCCCTCCTCAACACAAGCCAGAATGATCTGGCTGAAAACGTAAGTCAAGCCACTCAAGTCCTCTGCTTCTCACCTGAGCAAAAGCACAACCACCTGGAGGCCCGACCCCCCGGGAGCTGCACCTCAGTGCTGTGCTGCTCAAATTCGGGTCCAGCCTCTCTGGTGTCCCTCAGTCCTGGAGACTTGCCAGCACAGCTCCACCTCTGGGCCGCCATACTCACTACTCCTGCTAGGACCAGTCTTCCCCCCCCTACCTGCAGGGCTCACTCACCGACCTCCTTTAAGTCCTTTCCTCCACAGTCATTTTCCCAAAAGGGCCTTTCCTATCCATCCTGTTAGAACTGCACCCACAGAACCTGCTATTCTATTTCCCAGATACATTTTGTTTCTCCATAGCAGTCATCAATTTCTAATATGCTATATATAGTTTACTTACTTTTTATATTTTTATTGAAGTGCAGTCACTTTACAAGCAATACAAATAAAAGCAAAATAAACAAATGGGACCCAATTAAACTTATAGGCTTCTGCACAGCAAAGGAAATCACAAGCAAAACAAAAAGACAACCTACAGGATGGGAGAAAATATTTGCAAAAGATGACACTGACAAGGGCTTAATCTCCAGAATATATAAACAGCTCATACAAATCAATGAGAAAAAAACAACCCAACCCAAAAATACGACTTACTTACTTATCTTATTTTCTGTCTCCTGGCACTAGAATGATCCGTATGGGTAGAGATTTGTTTTGTTTGTTTTCCTGTGTCACCAGTGCCTGGAACGGTGCCTGGCACACCATAAGCACACAGGTAGACTGGACTGTCCGGCCCCAGTGCCTCCCTTTATCCATAGCCTCTGCCATGTTACTTGGCAACGTCCTTCCACCATGGCCTAGGTGGCCTGCTCGGCCCTGCTTCCTGCCCCCGGGCTCCATCATGCTACTTGCTTTGGTCACTGGGCTATTGGCAGACGCGATGATGGGAAAAGAGGCTTAACATGGGCTTGCTCATGGAAGGTCACCTCTTGTGTTTCCTCATCGCCATGAGAAGGACGTGGAGTGACTCCTTAGTCCCAGGACAGAGGTGACAACCACATGAAACAGAGTTAACCTACTCCAGCTACACCAGAACCAGCACAACCAGCCGACCCACTGAGGCAAGAGCAACACCAGCAGATCAGCCAGTCCCAGCTCTGATCAGCCGACACTCAGCCTCTTGACTCAAATACCTTAACAACAAGTGATTATTCTTTAGAGCAGCTGAGTATTGGGTTGGTTTGTTATATAACACGATTGGGCCGATATTCAAGTGAATCAGCCTGCAGTCAACATTGGTTAAGGAAAAAAGATTAATGTATTACAGTGACCACCATCAGCCCAAGGAGGTCTATGGGCACACCTGTGCTATGAATGGAACCAGTGCTAACCCACATTCCCAGGGCTGGTCCTTTGTTCTAGATACTGGACGACTGAGAATCATCACACAGCCGCATCCTGAAAGGCCTCATGCTATGGACTGGCCGCTACGTGAAACACCAGACCCACTTTTTTCCAAGTTCATTTTGAATTTCATGTGAAGGGCATTGAACCCGGTTACCTGGAAGCAACACGGTATCTTTTTAAACTTCTTTTATTACTATTACTATTTTGTTAGCGTTTCACTAGAGCCCCACAAAAGGAAGAATAAGCATTAAAGACAATGACATCCAATCTATTTAGCGCAGGGACGTGCCCTTTCGTTCTTTGCTTTATTTCCGTCCCTTTCTTTTCCCTGCCAAGTTACACAGAGGCGGCTTCTCTCACTATCATTAGACTCCTTCTGCTGAATGCGAGAAACTTCTTCACTGCATGATCCTTTCAAGTCATTCTCAGACTGGCAAACAAGTCCAGAATTCTCCGGCAGGACCATTCGAAGTCCACAGTAGAAGGATTTCAGAGGAACGGGAAAGATGCCCAACCTACCTAAAACAACCATTTGCCTTTTTATGCCATTTTTAGTGTCATCAACAATCATGCACACACCGGAAATAGGATCTGAGAACTAATTTTAACAGGAGCCTCTGTTGGCACCGAGTCCCTCCGGCCCAGCTTCCCAGCTCTACCTGCAACACGCAGCGTGCTTGACGATCTAGAAAATTATTTGAAATTGATCTGGAAAACTTCATGTATGGAAACATGTAAGGGAGGATGAAGTTATTAAGTAAAGTATGTCCACTGCAGAGAAGAATGTTAGGCATGTAACAATATTACCTTCCAGACATCGGTCAAAGGTGGCTCTGCCACCTCTAGTGTTTAGAGTCCAGTTAGCCAGGAGTCTGCAGATGTCTGCCTGCAACAGACTCGCATAGAAAGTGTCTCTGCCCGGAAGACAGGACGTAGCCAGGCTTTCTCTGGATCCCTTCTTTGCCCTGAGTTCCAGCCCAAATCCACAGGATCACAGGGTTCACCTCCTCCATCACCTAACGCTGCCCCAGGGCCTGCTCACCTGATCCCTACGGCGCATCCAGGTCTCCCCGTTCAGGAGGCAGAGGAGTGGGAGAAACTGCGAATCCAGACTTCACTTAGGAAAAGAACAAACTGTTCTAGGTCCCCACTCTCACCTGCCAGTCAGGAAAGGACCGACAGGATGTGAGAGAAAGAGAAAAGTGGTTGGGTGGACAGGGAGACAAATAAAGGCATGGCTAGGAAAAAAGAGGCAGAAACATCTGTGTCACTGGCTTGGCAGAGATGAAGATGGTCCCAGGGCTGTAAAGCAGGGGAGGGTGGAAAGTCAGAGGCAGACAGAGAGGGTTGTCTGGTCTACCTCCTGCCTCCACAAACGTGAACACTGCCCAAGACAAGTGGCTTTTTTTTTCATATTTTTACAATGGAGATTTTCAGTTTGCTTTATTTTATGACTCTGTGCCCCCATCTGGCTGCTTGGATACTCTGCCCACACAAATCAAATATTTTTCCTTTAGTTATGAAGTAAGGCTAAGTCCAAGGGGCCTTTCTACATTAGTAAACAGTGTGGTCAGGCTTGTAAAGGTTGTCCTAGTGCTTACAGACTCTGTAACTCATGTTATTACTTAATGACGTCACACACACACACATACACACACACACCTGTTTGCTATTTGATTGTTCTGTTGCCTTTAGTATATTGCAGAATTTTAAAAGACTGAGTCTATGGCTTATGCTTTTCATGTAGTCCAGAATCATGTCAGAATAATTGAGCAAACAGTAAACACTCAAAAATGCACTTAGGTTAAATGGCATAAATCAGCAGGTTGGTCAACTTTGTGTAAACTAGCAGCGGGGGCAGGGGGAATCTGTTAGCCAGTTAGGAAAGGACAAGAGGGTGGTAGGTTTCCACCAAATGTAGTTTAGAACCTGCCCCTCTCTCTGCAGGGAGCAGCCAAAATGCTAGCCTTCAAAAGTCTTTCCCAGCCAGTGATGTGCCAGTGAATGTTAATAAATTGCTTTATAAAAAAAAAAAGGCCCTGATTTGTAGCATTTGTCAGTTCGATGGTACACTCCCACCATGGCTGAATCAGGTCACCAACATGGACGGCACTGAACGTGGAGCTGGCGGGAGAGGCACACGGTCAACTCCCACTAGACCATGTGAGCTGGCCCTGCACCCCACCATCCCAAACTCTCCTGTCAGAATTAATCCTTACCTTTTGATTCCCTGTTTTTCAGTATATATTAAAAGCATGCACCTAAATCTGCTTGGCTGTAACATCCCTGAAGAAAGACACTGAATCTTAATTAGCCACACAGAGCCTTTAAACGCACCATATATATATATATATATATATATATATATATATATGTCTCCAGATACATATATATACCCAGATAGGGATACACATTTGTGTAAATGCACACAATCTTTCATTATATAGATGCACATAATCTTTCAGGTAAGTTTGGCTTTCATAAATATTTGTTATTTCTGCAAGTTTCGTTATCTCCTGAGGTGCTCTGAAGCCCTGCATTGGACAAAGCCCCTCAACATGTGCACAGGAACAAATAGTAATAAAATCTCCACTTTTAACCCAACAGGCTGCATTCCTCAGCCTCCCTTGCAGTGAGAAATGCCCACATGACTGAGTCCTGGTCATACAAGGCCAGGCCATGCGATACAACTGGAAGAATTGTGTGGAAGCTTCTGAGAACTGTGGTTAGGAGGAAGCTGCGTCTCTTTACTGACTTTCTTCCTACTTGCAACCTGGAATGTGTATATGATGGCTAGTGCTGGAGCAGCCATTTTGGTCTGAGAGGCAACCTTGGAAACGGAAGTTCTTAGTGGCATCAACTAGTTGGAAGGGTCCTGGGACCATGAGGGGTCTGTGGAGCGAAGTTCTCTATTAAATGTACATTGCAAACTTGCTGTTTCCATAAGAGAGAAATAAGTGTCTATCTGGTTAAAGCTACTGTTGTTCCAGGTCTCTGTTAGAGCTGAACTCTATCTTAAAGGACATACCACGACACAATATGAAAGTCCTGTAACTCCGAAACTCAACATGAGTCAATCTGTCTGGCTTCCACAGTGAATCAGAGCCACTTCAAAAATAATGGCATAAAGCCTTCTTACTTGTCTCTCCAAAAGTTGTGACCCCAGTGTCCACAGACGTCTTCAATCCCCGTCTTCACATGATCAAAAAACTAAAACAGAAAAAGCCAGCTGATTGATTAATGTTTACCTGAAATCAGTCATTTCCATTTCTATTTATAGAAAAATTACAATGCTTATTTTTATTTGTAGACATTCTAATTATAGAAATTTCTCTTTATATCAAGCTTGAACTTCCAAGACCCTCATAGTTTTTGCTTCTTTGTTGAATTTTTAAACTGAAAACCATAAAACAAGAATTCACCTTCGAACACATTGATGAGATGTTTGGCATAGCAACTGCAGGCAATTCTTAACACTATTTTTCTCATCACAACAGTTTGTTCATAATTTTGGAAAGTATGAAATACAGTAATAATTTTCCAGTAGAAACATTTCAGATTGAAGGAAGGAATGTGAGGGGCCATGTTCATTCTATCCCCAACACAAGCCTTTCTCAGTCCCCTCCCCCTGCCCCTTCCCCGCTCCCCCTCCCCCACCTCTTCCTCAGGAAGTGCTGTCTGACTTAATTCGATAATCTCCCTTTTTCTATTGAAATGGTTATACTACAGTAACACCTACCCGACAATGGATTTCCTCACTGACAGCTTGCTGCTTCTTGTTGGACCTCTTAACATCAAGGAACTCCACCAGCGGCCGGATAGTTATTCCCTGCCCCCCCCAAAAAAAAAAAAAAAAAGGCGGGGCAAAGGGAACCCTCTTGTAAAATTCAAGAATAACTTTTATTCTCCTAAGCTTTGATAACCAATAAAAGATATCCTGTTCCCCAGACTTAACACAGCCTGTGTAACATTTTGTTCATTTTTTCTTCCTGTTTAATAGCTGGCATATTTTCAGAGAACCATGTCCCCAAACCTGCTACTGGAAGTGAAACATTGGACAGAATGATGTTTTCAACTTTTCACATTTTAAGTCATTCTAAGATATACAAGAAGAAAGTAATTCCAAGGAATAAGAAAATATGATACAGCTCAGAGGAATCATCTCCTTGCATTACGCACAGAAAACATTTAAGTCATTCATTCATTCATTCATTCATTCATCTATTAAAACAATTATAATTGAGTGTCTACGGTGGACGAATCAGGGGCTTGGGCGTTTGGGAGCAATCTTTGCTAGATAGTTATCTTTGCTAGTTTGATAGTTAAGGACCTCATGTTGACGACTCTAGTCTTACACGGAGAGGGAGACACACAAAACCAGCTACAGAGTAGGCACAGGAGGAATGAGAGGGTCAAGGAAGGCTCTGTTGAGAGAGAACCCAGGACCCAAGTCTTACAAGACGTTGGAAGCATATATCTGAGCAAAGACCTAAGACCAGCAGTAAGAAAGGACCCGGTGTGAGTCTGGGCAGGTTCACGGCGCACTTGGGAAATGGAGAGAAAAATAAGCCACGTAGTAAACTAGGAAGAGAAAAAGATTCCTTAATATGATAAAAAAAAATATATATATATATATCTGTTGGGAATCTATAGTGAGCATCTGACTCAGTAATGTAACACCAAAAGCGTTTCCACTAGAACCAGGAACAACGCAAGGGGACTCCCAGCCTGCCGTTCCACACGGTCTGCTTGTCCTGGTCAGTGAAACAGGGAGAGACAGAGGGAGAAACACAGGCACTGAAAATGAAGCGACAAGGTTTTTGCTGCTCATGGGTGACCCAGATTCTGTCCCGAAAAATCTACAACAATCTTTTTTCGTTTAAAAACTACGAGAAAGTTTAGTAAAGTGACTAGACATAAAACGAACATACACAAATCCATCCCCTATACTAATTAAAAAAAAAAGAATAAATACCATACAAAATAGCAATGAAAAATATATGTAGAGAGAGAGAAAGAGAGAGAATATTTATAACACTAGAATATATGAGTATATTATATATATTATACTATATGAATACTAAATATATAATAAAGTAAAATTTATATAAAGTATGTATATATTTTTATACTATCTCTACGTATGTATATAATATATTATATTGTATAATCCTATCATGAAATACACAAAAAATCTTTACAAAGAGAACTATAAAACTTAATTAAAGGATATTAAAAAGACGAGTTTTAAAGACACGTACAGGTCCTGGATAGGATTCTTTATCAATATAATGATGATAATTTTATCTCAACGGATATGCAATAAATACAATTCCAGTAACATATTCCAAAGGATTTTTAATGGAATATGAACATTTAGAGGACAAGAAAATGTTCTAAATTAGGCCCCCACGGGGACTCCTGCAGGTCTCTGACCTGGATGCATTCCAGGATCTCACCCCTTCTCCCCATCTTGCTGCTGCCACCACAGTCTTGCCTGACGGCAGCCTTGGCCCCTAGGCGGCATTTCCTACTTGTACCCCTTCCTCTTACCTCTCTCTTCTCCCGGCTGCAGCCAGGGCATTCTGCTACAGATAAAACATATCAGGCGTCTGCACAAAACCTTCAGGTGGCTTCTGTTTCACTTGCAGGAGAGCCAGAGTCCCAACGTGATGCGGGACCCCAGACCCTCTCCCGCCGCACGGCTTGCCTGCCAGCCACATGGGCCACAAACACACTCCTTCAGACCTGTGCCTGTCCTCTGGTTTGCCTGGAATGTTCTAGCCTCAGCTAATCCCTTCATCTGCCCCCCACCCAGCCTTGACTCAAACGTCATCTTTTTTCATCTTGCCTGCCATGAGGTTCTGTTTGGTACCGAATCACCCCGTCCCCTCCCCACCCTCCCCACCCTCCCCGTGCCTGATCCCGGCCACTTGTACAGCATCTTGCACCTTCTAACACACTCTCGAATTTCCTTACTTATTATGTTTGCTGTCCAGGGGCTGCCCCCCTCCCCGGAGCGGAAGCTTTGCAGGCTTGGGTACATTTCTGTGTTGTGCTCACTCTTGGCTCCTAAGCACCCAGAGCGCTGTCTGGCCCACAGTGGAAGTCCCAGACATACTTCCTAAATGAACATCCTCAAAGCAGAATCTCCTGAGCGCTGGCTCATTAACTTAGAGAGATCAATTAATTGGCAAGGCCAGGATGTTGACCCAGGCCCCTGCCCTCCCCTCTACACTTTCTGCCTCCTAATATCAAGCGTGCAGGCACCCCTCCCACCATTTCAAATGATGTGCTGCTCAGCGGAGAGCCCACGTCAGAGAGCTGCTGGCAGGTCACCACACAACCAGCATTTAAGGAGCCCATTTACTGGGTGCGGGAGTAAGAGAAACGACAAGGATTAGTAAATTCAGTTCATAAGCTTCTTAGGTCATGCAGCTGAGTTTCCTTAAATAGGAATTCCTCTGCATGGGCCAGGTGACAACACTGGACTCTCCTGGGCACCTGCACAACCCAGTGATGTGAGGAAATACCATCTTCCCTTCTGTCCTCCCCTCTGCGACATGGCACCCTGGAAGAGGAGTTCGTCCCAGACATCTCGCTTCCTCCCAGCAAAGGAAGAGACCTCGCCGGGAGGCAGGGCTCCACTCACCAGGATGAAGACAGTGAAGAAGATGACCACAATGGCCGCCGTGATGAACAGCTTTTTCCGGGGAAACACAGCAGCGGGCAGGAGAAACACCAGTGCAAAGCAGATGGCGCCACGCAGGCCGCCGTAGGCGATGATGAACTGGTCCTTGAAGGTCAAGGGGATCGTCCGGAACCAGTTGATGACCTGCGTCAGGACAAAGACACCTGAGAAGAAAAAACAACACCAGAGAAAACAGACGGTGTGAGGCCAGAACACAAACCCATGAAGAAGACACACTTCTGGGTTGTCAGTGACGGGGCCCCATCCTGCCATCTTCCCCGCGCGCCTTGGCCTCCGGGCATCACCAGGCTCCTAGGCCTTTGTTGTCTCCGGGCGGTGGGTGAGAATGTGGAGTCAGAGAAATCAAGACAGGTCAATTCAACTTAGAGGCATGAAAATACTCAGGGAAGAAAAGAGTGTGTCAGGAAGCAGGGAGAGGAGGAGGAAGAGGAGGCGAGGGAGGAAGGAGGTAAGAAAGATGGAGAAAGCCAGATACAGGAGAGAAGCGGCAATGGCAGCAGCAAAGGGCAGGGGACAAGCAGAAAGGGCCAGTCTCTGCGAGGAAGCACGTGCTCATTACCCAGCGCCCTCCAGATCAGGCAGAAGGCCAGGGTGAAGCAGACGAACGCCCAGTTCCACTCGTGGTTCTTGCCGACGGTGGACACGCCCATGAAGATGAAGATGAGCGTCTCGCTCACGCTGCTGAGCATCTTCATGAAGTACTTGATGGTCGTGTAGGATTTCTGGGACACGTTCTCTTCCACGTACTTGTTCATGGTCATCGCACAGGCTGTAATTCTGCAGGAAGAGATGTGGCTTCTATTTAAACAGGACAACGGTCCAAGTCGGAATAGACGGGGTCTGCACTCAGACAGATGATGGCTCCACCCTCAGCCCATGACTACAGCAATCTCGACTAATTTTTTTTTTTTCTGGATGTGATTTGTATCCTTGAAAACCCTACTGTCTCAGGGGGTTTTCACCAATACCCAGGGCTTCGACCACCGGAATCTGCCCAGCTTTCTAGGCTGTGGACATCGGCACCATCAGCTACCCCGTCAGAATCACAAATAAAACAAGTCCATAATGAATTCAAAACCCACTATCTTCCTCTAAAACCAGCCCAACTTCTCTAATTCCTCTGGTGCCCCAAATGCGAAGCTATTGCCTAAAATGCTAAACTTGAATCTGTGGTCATGCTGGCCACCTCTCTGCACCTTCTTGGTGCCCCCTCACCATCTAATTGGTCATCTAAGTGGTTTTCCATCCCTCATCCTGAATCTCTTGGACCCACTTACTGCCTCTCATTTCTACTTCTCATTTATTCTCATTTCTACTTCTCGTTTCTACCTCATTTCTACTTCTCATTTCTACTTCTCTAAGGTATCCACTTCTGGGAAATTCAAAATGTATTAATAGGCTCTGAAAATTCCTAAAGGAAAGAAACTCTTCCATTTGTTTTCCCAGCACTTCCAAAACTCTGGGACCCCAGGGCTCTCCGCGTCCCTGCCCACGACACCTATTTTAATGTATTCCCAGGTTCTGAGGACTCGGATCTTTGGGAGTCACGGTGCAGCTGACTGCACCGTTGTTGGCATTCCCTGACCTTGTGTGGTGGCCGCCACCAAGTGCATGTCGCCCATAAGCCGGGCCAGAGCTGCTCACACGTGCTTGGTGACAGAAGCTGGGGGAGCACTGTCCCACGGGCCTGACGCAAAGCCTGGAACCTCCACCAGCACCAGTGGGCAAGAAGGACCGGGGACACCACCCCCGGCACCCATCTGAATGTCAACCACTGGTTGACTGCACGTCTGAATACCTCCATCTTTCATTTATTTCCTTAAAAGCAAGAGTTGCCTGATACAAAGTAACAAGGGTAAAAGCCAGACTGAATCAATGAGGAATCTGAATCATAATATGTTTTATAAAGAAAAGACTTATATACAGCAACACAAACGAATGAGCCTTTCTTAAATGTTGCCAATAGTTCAATTCAAAGAGTGAAAGTTTGTAACAGAAACAATCAAGGCTGTGAGTACTTCCTGAATTCTCTAATCCCATGGAAAATATACTTTAAAACAGTCTGACTGTAAAGCATGAAAGCTCACAGACAAACAGGGAGAATAATGAACACCAAAGGACTGCCCGCCCAGCTTTTTCCACTCACTTTTATTTTTAACAATAAAGCATCAAAAAAATAATAATAAAGCACCAGCTGCGGAGTTGAAACCCGTACCTTTCTCACACTAACCCTGTTTCCTTCTGTCCTTCCTGGATTCAGGTTTCTGCTGTTGTTTATTATTCAAAAAGTGATTTTTTTTTAGATGGAAAATTGCTTTGGGGGTCTGTGCTAGTGCGTTCCCTCTGAGATCGTGTTCGTGTCACTCACTGGGAAAAATACAAGCCACACGGGCAAAAAGTAATCTTAGTCCATTCAGTGAGTGATTTAGCAAAAATTTCTATCCAGAAATTATTGAAAAATACAACTCTGGTGAAGGAATAAAAAAAACACATGAATTTTACATGAATGCCTACAGGATCATTTTCCACTGCCTTGTATCCTTAACTTGACACCGGAGCCATGCGTATGTCTGCCAGACTCCTCCCTGTAACTCAACTCCGACCAGCACAGGTGAGACCCTAGAGGGGGAAGAGTGCCCCTTGGCAGGTACCAGAGGCCCCAGAGCTGGGTAGTGCCCCATCCAGGAAATATGGGTGTGCCTATGTCCTGGATGGGGACGTCCCGTCTGGTCTGTCACATACAGCTCAATGCACATGTCTTCTCAAGTAAAGACCAGGAGGTGTTTCATTGCAAAGAGGGTTCTTTTTCACCATAGGATGCTCTGACCTACATCAAACCACCTCACCCTCATAACATCCTACATACATAAAACTACAAGTGAGTTAGTCTCCCTTCAGTTAGCAGGGTACACACAACACAGTCTCCCTAGAATAGAGGCGAATAAAACCTTCCCCGCCCCTTCCTGGATCACCACCTACAGCTGATAGTCTGAATCATGGCCATAAATTTGAGTCTCCTTCATTTTTCTAAAAGGATTAGGAGAAACTTCTCAAGCTGGGGGACAGTGCAGGCTGGCTGGTGCCTGGCTGGCCTCAGCCACACTGGGTTTGGAGTACGTGGCCAGAAGTATCCTTGGGTAAGCGGTCATCTCGCAGCACATCACAGCAGCACGTACAGAGAGGGGAGATTTCTTTCTCCACCAAAGCGAGCACGTGAAGATTTCCTGCCTGAACCCCACAGCTCCTCATCCTCATTCTGAACATCACTGTGACAATACTCACACCAAAATAATAGCCTAAAAAGACTCGTTTTACATTTTAGAAAACTCTAGTTGAATTTCTCAACTCGCAAGCTCCTTCAAACATAAAACCACTGGCTTTTAGTATTCCCGGTACGACCTGACTTTTATTAGCTCATGTCATTGAATCATCTTTCTCCCCACTTTTCATGCAACTCTCTCTTTCACAATCTCCCGATATAGTTCAAAGGATTGTGACTAACAGTTGAATATCAACCAACATGTTCTTAGCATCTACTCTGGGGCAGAGTCTGTGCTGGCATCCAAGAAGATGTGAGCAAGTAAGAGGCGACTCCTACTTTCAAGAGTTCGTGGTCTTCTTTCTGCTCTTAGACCTGGTTCCACCGTGTGGGTGGGACCCCGTGGAAGTAAGGCACGGACCAAATTCACTGGTGCATTCCTCTGTGTTACTGCCTCGCCTCGTATTATGGTTTAACATAAATGTATGACCATTATCACCCACTTAGAGACAGAGAAGCCATGACTCAGGCAATTCAGTTTATAAATACAAGTGTGCTTTCATCTTTTTTTAAGAGTGGTCCATTCTCTAATTTCTATTCCCACGTTAGAAGACCTGTTCTGTAATCTGAACTGCTTGGAGTGAGAATTGGGCTGATAGAAAGAATGTTGCGAAATTCTTCTGTGCCCGTTTCATACCTGTGTCTGATCTTACCAAGTATGGATTCCATTGTGGGAAAACACAGCCCGAATAAGAGTTGCAGATTCTCAATAAAGACTTCGCCAAACATACAGGCAAACTCCACTCACCAGCACCAAGCACCAGCGAAGACAAAGAACCATTAAAAAGCTTTCTCTGAATTGAGCCAGGTCTTGTGGTGACTCAGGGTACACTGTATGTTCTCAGAATAAAGTACTCACTCATGTGAGGTAAATTAATTATTCCAGGGCATGAATTTACTACATAACAATTGCCTCCTCTAGGAAATCCAACAACCAAGAGAGAGTGAGTTTGACATATGAGAAAATGAAAAAAAAATTGTTTTCAGAGGAATATCCAAGCATTAAAAACTGAACAACCTCTCCTAAAATATCAAAAATGAAATAAGTTCAAACTCTTACAGACGCCTGATTAGTCATACAGCTCTGCGCATTTCATGGATTTTCCATATCTTTTTTTCTCCTTTAGATGCTTTCAATGCCGTTCAGCTACTGTTTACAGCCTATTTCCTGGCACCTAAAGCAATCATGGCTTTGCGGAAAGAACACAGTCAAGACCTCAACTCATGGTCAAAAGTCACAAGGCATCGACTTTCAAAACACACGGCGTCCGCGGACTCTCGTCGGGGACTGCTGGCAGAGGCATGAGAGGCAGGGAGACTGGACCAAGATCTTGATGATGGAATGGAAGCCTTCCAGCTGGGGAGCCCCTGGTGTGCCCTGGGCGTGGGCTGCAGGCAGGGCCTGGGTGTGCGACACGGCCAGGTGGCAGCCCTGCGCCCAGGAACGCGCGGTGTTCTCAGGATTCCCGAGACAGGTGCTCCGGGAACGCCAGCGGGGGATGCTGTGTTCTGGAAGCTCTTACTGCTCCTCCCATGGTGTGTGAGCCACGTGACTATGAGAAATCGTGGGCAGAACACAAATGCCTGGACCCCATCTCAGACCTACAGAGTCAGAATCTCCAGCTGGAGCCAGGGATCCCGCACCCCTGACAACCTTTCCAGATGATTCGGACTATATCAAAGTTTGAGGGGAGTAGAGGCAGACTGTTCAGAGGAGAAAGAATGAATGAGAAAAAGGACTGAATCGTGGTCTTTTGGAATCATGGCATTAATCGTGCCACTTGAATCATGTTACTTAAAAATCTACTGGAGAGTGACAATGAGGGCGAATGTGAGACTCGAGGACTGCACTGGATTCAGTTATACTCTGCCACCTGTTTTCCCTTTCCTTCCTTTCCCTCATTTCTCATCACTTGCTTCTGGGCGTACGTTCCCACCTTCCCTCGCCTGGACCGACCCGGCACTTCCCCGACCCTCCTGCCCAGAAGTGGCTCCTCAGCTCCAGAGCACCCAGGAGCCCAAGGCTGTGCCCTCCAGCTTCTACTGGAGTCTGTTAAATATTATCAGGTTTACGTGTGATGGGGTGAAAAGGTTTCAGAAGCACTCCAATCCTGGATTCACTAGAAAACAGAATAAAACAGATAAACAACCAGTTTCTAACGTAGAGCCCAGGGAACTCCAATCAATAACTTGTAGCAACCTACAATGAGAAAGACCATGACAACGAATGTCTGTATGTATATGTGCGACTGAACTGCTATGCTGTGCACCAGAAATTGGCACAACATTGTAAACTGACTAGACTTCAATTAAAAAAACAAAACAAAACAAAAAGCTGAGGGTGAGCACAATGGAACAACGCTAAGAGAGACAGAACACAAGCCATACGTGTAATTTTAAACTTCCTAGTAGTGATGGTTAAAAAATGTAAAAAGAAACTGGTGAAGTTAATTTTCATAATATCTTTATTTAACTCCACAGATCTAATACA